CAAGGGCTAGCATAGTGCCAACTCATAAAACAGTCATGTTATCCCAAGATATAAGACTTCTGTAAAATATCAATTAATCCCCTCAATTTCTCTACTAAAATCACATAAAAGAGCAGTTAAATTTGGCACATTTTTGGCTAAAATCAAGAGCATCAAAGGAGGAGAAATACATGCTGTTGCTTCCCTTCTGTGTCCAAGAGGCTCTGTCACTACAGTAAAAGCTCTGATAACCAGAAGGCTTGGTGTCTTAGTTTGGGTTTCCCCAGAAGCACACTCTGTCTGCACGCCAGTTCAGTGAGCAGTGCAGGGTATGTTGTGGAGACCAAAGAAAAGACCTGCAGTTGGTGAGCGAGACATATGAGTTCATTGGGAGGTACAGGGAGGTGCCGTGGTGGCCAGCTGGACAGCAATGTGCCCCCTGTACTGCAGACGGCATTTGTAGGGAAGATAAGAAGAGGTCATAGGCTAGATATATTTTCAAAGCTGAGACCACAGATTTGATGATGAAGTAAATGTGTGGTTTGAGAGAGAGAGAGAGAGAGTAATGAAAGGAGATACCTCAGTTTGGGGTCTAAATGATTAGTAGATGAAGTTGCCATTAACTGAATTGGGAGAGATTAAGGGAGAAATAAGTAAATTTCAGGAGAAAATATGAAGAACTGAGTTTGTACACGTTAACTGTGAGATACCCATTTACCCAAGTGGAATGTGTAAAGGCACAGTGAAGTTCATGGATGAGAGCTTTTCCAGAAACTTGAATTAAGTTTTCTTCAATCTAAATTTGGAGTTCATCAGTGAACTGATAGTATTGAAGCTGTGACGAACAGATGAGATCACCTAAAGGAATGAGGGGAGTTAGGAAGGGAAGAGTCCAAGCACTGAGGCAGGGGACCCTCCAATGTTTAGACGTAGATACATGAGCAGAGGACACAAAGGCTACATGCTTCCCAAGGGGCTGTCCCTGGTACATGAGCATTCCTAGGAACAGCAGCTCACACAGAGGGGCTCTGTATCCCTTTACGATGTGATGTTCTTTAAGTGAGATAAGGTAAGATCTGGGCTGGCCAGACCCTGGATTGTTACAAATCCCAGCAGCCAGTGTCTTGCTCAGAAGGGAGCCAGAGGGACACATGGTTGTAATGAGCTTGTAGACTTTTGCTGAGCAAACAAGGCCCGGGCCCTACACAGACCCTGAGATAAAGATGTGAAGGCAAGCAGTTTATTTGGAAGATGCAGTAAACACCAGTTGAGGGTGGCAGGGGAAAGATCCTGGGAAGTGAAGTCATCCATTAAGGATTGCTTTATTAAGCCAGCTATCCAGTGTGTGGCTGGTGCTTCACGCTACAGAGAATTCCCAGAATATGTTAGAAAACGCACCTCAGAATGATCCCATCCAAGAAAGAAGGAGATCAGATATTTATATCCCACCTGCCGAGAATAACTGGATAAGAGAGTTATTGGATTGAGGTGGCAGTGGGGAGGAGTGGAGGCAGTAGTGGTGGTGTGTTAATTCCTGGTATTTCTCTACCGTCATGAGTGTATGGAACAGCCTTCATATGTCCAGGAAAAAAGCCCTCAAGTGCACAGATGCAAATGGTGGCAAGTAACAGAAAGCCAGCCAGATGCTGCTGCAAAGTCTGCAGTATGAGGGTGGGACGCTGATGACATCTTCCTATGCTTGGGAAAGAAGATGTCCTATGACTTGGTGTTTCTAAATATTTGTGTTTTGATTCACGTTGCTAAAAAACTACTGAAAAATATTATTTTAAAAAATGTTCCCAAGAGGGGCCAGCCCCATGGCTGAGTGTTTAAAGTTCGTGTGCTCCGCTTCAGCGGCCCAGGGTTTCGCGAGTTCGAATCCTGGGCACGGACATGGCACCACTCATCAAGCCATGCTGAGGCAGCATCCCACATGCCACAACTAGAAGGACCCACAACTGAAAGTACACAACTATGTACTGGGGGGCTTTGGGAGAAAAAGGAAAAATAAAATCTTTAAAAAAATATGTTCCCAAGAGGGCTGGCCTGGTGGCATAGTGGGTAAGTTTGAATATTCTACTTCAGTGGCCTGGGGTTTGCAGGTTTGGTTCCTACACACACCTCATCAAGCCATGCTGTCGTGGTGTCCCGCGTACAAAATAGAGGAAGATTGGCACAGATGTGAGCTCAGGGCCAATCTTCCTCCAGAAAATAAAAAGTTCCCAAGAGAATTGCTTGGAGAATATGATACATACCCTTCTCCAAAAGTTCAAGATGACGTCATCCTGTGCTCCTAATTATAATTTCTCAAGGAAGAATACAACCCAAGATGTTCAAGGTGTATGGAACACAGATGATGTTTGCACTGACCTTAAAGAAATATTTCAGCAGTTTGTTCTGATTTAAAATATAAGGCAAAATGTGTTGCTTGTGATTTGTAATATTCTATTAAAAGTAGACTATAACAAGAAAAGAAAAAATCCCAGTTAATTGAAGGATGTGCAAAATTAACTGCTATTAGTCAAAGTTTCATTGTGGCTGCCAAAAGGAAAGCAGAGTAATTCAGAAAATCATTCATCTATTTAACCAACAGATTTTATGAGATTTTTACCATGTACCAGGGAATTATAAAATGAACAGCATGAATTTGGCCCAGGCAGTGGTCAAAGTCTTTAGAGTAGTTAAGACTTGATACTGAAATTCACATCTGCTGCTCTCTGCTAGACCTCGACAAACTTCCTTAATTCCTGAGTCTCAATTTTCTCATCTGTAAAATAAGAGTAGAGGAGTTAAGATATTTAATGAGATTATGCTTGACAAGTGCTTAAGAGTATGCCTGGCGCATATTAACCACTCATTACACGTCATTTTTATCATGGTGGTGATGGAAATGCTAGGATTGCTGCCATCAAAGTCCTAGCAATCTGCTAAAGGGGGCAGATAGACACACTGTAAGGCAGGGCAAAATACAACGTGTTCTGTGATCACAGAGAATGAGCACAATTACAGGGATATCTTTTGAGGAGGTGGAGTAAATAGGTGGTTCTTGGAAGACAGAAAGGTTTCTGACAGATGATGTTAGTGGTCAGATTTAGAGGGTGAATGTAAATCAAAGTATAGAGTTCTAAATAGACCTGGTGTGCCTGGAACATTTAAGAGTACCAAGTACCTGAGATAAGAGCTCCTGTATCTACATCTAAACATTGGAGGGTCCCCTGCCTCAGTGCTTGGACTCTTCCCTTCCTAACTCCCCTCATTCCTTTAGGTGATCTCATCTGTTCTTCACAGCTTCAATACTATCAGTTCACTGATGAACTCCAAATTTAGATTGAAGAACCCTAAATTCCAGTTTCTGGATAAGCTCTCATCCATGAACTTCATTGTGCATTTACACATTCCACTTGGGTATCTAATGAGTTTCTCACAGTTAACGTGTACAAACTCACTTCTTCAAATTTCCTCCTGAAATTTACTTATTTTCCCCTTAGGTTTTCCAAGCTCAGTTAATGGCAATTCCATCTACTAATCATTCAGGCCCTAACCGGGTGTCTCCTTTCATTACTCTCTCTCTCAAACCACACATTTACTTCATCACCAAATCTGTGGTCCAGCTTTGAAAATATATCTATCTAGCACATGACCTCTTCCTATCTTCTCTACTAATACCATACCGGTATCCCTCCTAGATTATTGTAATGGTCACCAAACGGATCTCATTGCTTACTCTTGAGAAACCCAAAAGTCTCTTCTCCAAATAGCAGCAAGTTTAATCCTGTTTGAGTAAATTATAGTGTATTACTCCTTATCAGGACACTGCAAACTCCGGGGCCTTCATTTCATCCAGATTAAAAGCCCAAGTCTCTAAACGTTCTAGAAAGCTCTCCACGATCTCGCCTCTGTTACCTTTGATCTCACTTCTTTATGCGTTTCCCTCTTGATTATTTCATTCCAGTCATATCGGGTTCCTTGTTCAACAGATAGGGCTTCACGTTCCCAGCTTGGGCCTTTGTTTTGCCTATTTCCTCAGCCAAGAACATTGTGCCCCCAGACATTTTCCAGGATAATGTCCTTACTTTCTTAGTGTCTTTGTTTAAAACGCATCTTTTTCTATGAGGTCTATACTGATCACCCTATTGAATGCTGTAAGCTGCACCCTTCTGCCCCTCCCCACATCCTGGTCAAAATGATTCTATTCTACTTCTTTTTCTATACCCCTTACTGCCCTACAACTCAGTATGTTATTTAGTAGTTTTATTTAATGTTTATCTCCTCCCGCCTCCTCTAGGACATAGCTCCTTGAGGGCAGCTGCTATTGTATGTTCTGTTCAGATGTTTATTAAAAGGATGCTCAGCACATGTACATGTTCAGTAAGGAGAAAACAAAAGAATAAATGCTCTTTCTTCTTTATTTTGAAATGTGCTCTTACTCCATTGACAGAAACATTTATTTCAATCTATAATACACAGCATTCCTTACTATTTAAAGGATCTTGGATATAATTTCCACACTCCTTAAAGGTTTTCTCCATTGGAAAGTGGACTATAGTATAAAATAATTGTTCTCTAGCCTATAGATTGGAAGATTCCTCTTCTTTCTAGAAAAATTATTACTGTGGATTCATAGTAAAAAACTAAACTAATAAATAACATATTGAATTACTCCAACATGGCAAGCATTATACATATTATTTCATTCAAATTCACCATAACACTATGAGTGGACATCTTTTCTACTTCAATGATTTGAAAACTAGATATCAGAGAAGTTTAGTAATTTGCCAAGATTCACACAGTAATTGAGTTGATCTGAAGTTGGAATGTAGGTTTTTCTGACTCCATAGCTCTTATTATTGATTGGCCACCTCGATTTGATAAATCAATATCTATTATGTAGATACGAGAAAAATTAAAAATGTATAAAGTCCTCTGAACCTAATAAATGAAGGATAAATGCTTTTTAATATAAGTATATCCTTAGCTGACGCGCTTTATCACATCCTTAGTACTTATCTTGCTTTCAGGCCACTCCACACAGAAAAGCTCCACTGATGTAGAGAAGACCTCATTACAGACAAACAAGATGATGAGAATTAAGCATCCCTATGGACAAAGCCAATTAGTAAGTTATACTTACTTATTATTCCAAAGATTATGAAGAGTAACAACTGTAGTGTACAGTTATACAAATTATATTCAAAAAGTTTTTTGAAGTAGCATTTCATGATATTCACTGACTGAAAGTGATCTTTGAAATATTTTGGTTTTGGTTTAAATACTTTTTTGAAGTTTGCTCAAAACTTTGGTCTGAGTTTTCACAAGAACATTTGATTCTTATATCCTGTTTTTAAGCAAAATATTGGTGTTTTTTTGGGTGATAATTTTCCTGTTCTGTTGAAGCTAACACACATATTTTTGAGTTTCTTTCACTCCTTTCCTTACATATGCCAACTGCATTATGAGACAGAAGCATCTGTTTCAATTTCTCTCAATTGATTTTCTTTCATATTTTCTAAACCCAGGTTACTAATCTGTGTCATTTTCTTCACTCTCTCCTGGAGAAGTCTTATTTTCCTTTTCCAATGCAAAAAGTCATTCTTGAGAAGGGAAAATTTCAAGTTCATTTAAGAAAGAAGATATTTCGTGTTTCTTCACTTCTGTTCCCCAACTGCTATCAGCAAACAAGGAAATCCAGCCCCACCATCGCTTCATGCATAAATGTAGAAGCATAAAATTTTACAAAAGAAAGGACCATTGGCCACAGAAGAATTCATCTTGTCCATTTCTCTCATTTAATAGGTGAAAACAGTGGGGCTGAGAGTTTAAATGACCCCTAAAGACACGCCACTTGAAAGTGACTGAGCCAGGCCCACTTGTAGGATGACCAATTCTCAGTTCGCATGCATTCTATCTTATGACTTAGGTTTCCCTATTTTTTGAGATTAGGGAATTGATACTGTAAAGATGACTTTTCCCAACTGTCCACAGAAGTGAAGGGGCGTCGATATTACTACCCAGGCTTATTTTAATTTACGATAGTTTCCCAGATGAACATGTTAGCACACTGCAGTTTGGGACAACAAAAATATTTGCCTCTGAAACATCAGGCATATTTGAGAAAGTTAAAATCTGAAAAGAGAAATTCATTTGTTAATTTTCAAATAAGATTCAGTGTAACAATCTGCGTGGATTTTCTTCTTTTTTATCTGTGTGTGGAGCAAACAAAAACCCTGGTTAGCTTCATCTGCTTTCTTTTTTAAACCATACTGCAGAAAAGAGGTGAAAAGAATCAAATTCGATAGCAAGATTTCTGGTGAGATCCGTTTGCTCATCCTTAGTTTATCTTCTGCAAATGAGCATGTATAAAACAGTCCACCTACTGTTCTAGTTGCCACGGTTTAATGCAGTTCCTCTGAATGATCCTGTTAACCTAACCTTCAATTTGCTGGGGTCTGAACTCTGAATTACAGCTTACGAACATAGTTTAACAGCTGGTACAAGGGCTGCTTTTGAATTTTTAATCATATGAATTAAAGATTGCTAGAGATGCTGTTTTAGACTTCTCTGAGGAGGGATCTGATGTATAGAAAGTCAAGTATAGTTAAGCCCAGGGGAATGGAACAGAGAGGCACCGGGTCTAGAGACACTAGGTTGCACACTCTGCTCACCAGATTGAGATGGTAACTGCAAAGCGTTCATTAACAATTGCATCTTAAGCAAACTTAACATTATCAAGTATTACACTGTCTCAGATGTATAACATATACTTTGTAGTTACTTTGAGATAGACATTAGTTAAATAGAAGTGAGCATAGATTCAAAAGACCCACTACATCAAAACCTTCAATTGGTATAGAGACAAATCGGAAGGTAGTTAATCAACATACTCAAGGATTATTTGATCAAGACTAAAGAATGTCTTAAAAACAGCAGTGTTTCTCAGATGATGAGATTTTTGTGAAATTTAGTGAATACTGACATTAGTTTAGTGGGGCTTGAACAACGATTTTTAAAGAGCAACACAGAATAGAATGGAAAATGTCAGAATGTATCTCATTTAGCACCATTATATTGTTGTCTGAAATTTTGTGTTAGCTGTGTGTGTTTATGTGTGTATTTGTGCTGGGTAATGCTATAAAAATGTGTTTTTTTATCTGTTTAAGAACAGTTTGAAAAGCATTGGCACAGGTTATTTAAATGACTTGTATTTCTAAAATTTTTATTATTCTGATATACTTAAGAATAAATCTAGCACATGTAATCAGATATATACAGAATAATAATATTCACACATAGCAAAGTGCAGTTTTTTAGTAACTTCTAGGAAAATTCCCAAAATATGGCAACTATCTATAAGATATGGGGAGAAAAAATATTTAGCATTAGCTTTTGTTGTTTTTTTAACTATAAACATTCATGTGTGCATTTTACTAAACCCTTTTCTTTATTATTTATTCCAGCATGAGCTTCCTTACATGCTAAAAATTGCAGTGAATAAATCCAGTTCAACTGGATATATATCCATGTCAGCAGGCTGGTGCTTTGGGGTGTAGCAAAATACTTTGCTATTTAGTATTTCAAGTTTGCGCACTTCATAAAGTATGACAACTATTCACCTGTTAGAATCATTGACCAAAATACATACAAAAGAGAAGTTAAACTAAAAACAAACCAAGAAAATTAGGGCATTAACCAAAATGAATCATGGGTCTTCCTCAATCATAATTCCATGAGTTCTCTCCCAAGAGAATCTCCTAATAAATGCAGTGCAATGTTGTCTGGTTGTCTGGACAAGAGCAGCCAAGGTTCTTTTCATAAACATAAAGATATTTGTGTTTCTTTTGTGCCGCTCCACCTCATATTTTTAAGAACAAGTATATCTGCGAGAAGCGTAGGTCATGTAGTAATGATTTCAAAGGTTTCAAAGTTTGAGAAAAGCGATGTATTTAATTTGGGGGGAACAGTATGACTCTTCCTCCCACCCCAACTGTGAATCTATCTCTACACAGCCCACTTCATTCCCTTTCTGACATTGTCTTCAAAAAGACTATTGAGGAGAGAAATGTACCTTTCTTTGTGACCAAGTATAGGCTTTGTTTTTTATAATTTGATATGAACAGGACAAAGCTAGATAAGTACAAAGGAATAAATGAAGACGGTTCCATTCATCAAAAGGGCTCAGGACTGGCCCGAGAACAAGGAAATGCATTGAGACAATGGATTCAATAACTGATATGGCTCATGGTGGTGAGGCAATAAGGCAAGAAGAAACAAAGGAGAACCGATTTTGGATAGCTTTTGAATACTTTTCTTACCATGTGATGAAATGGTTGCTTAAAGCAGCTGGCTGCATTTAATTATTTTTATTTCAATTTTCTTTTTTTTTTTAAATGTGGTTACTTCATAGACACATTTATTTTCCAACATCAGCTCCTTAGTAGTATAATATAGAATGCCTCATTAGCAATGGAAAATGGGCTTAAGTTCGTAGCAGGAATGTTCTGAATAATGTTTTTAGATGTGGAAGAAGTTAGCAAGGGAGATTATGGAACCTCTCTCTTTCCCCTGGAGAACTTTAAAACAAGTGAAAACTTTTTATTTAATCCACAAGTTTCACATGAGGTCTGTCCTCATTTGCTGGTGCTGCTTTTACTGCACTAAGGTCCCCCTCCTGCCCTTGTTCTTCCTCTCGCTGCCTTTGCTTGGAGAGGCCATGAGAAAATAGAAATATGCCTCAGCTGGAGGGAGGATGTGGGTGCTCCTCTAGCAACTGTAATAATCTGTTACTTTATCCCTACTATTCCTCTAGTTTTCTCATTTGTCATGTAGGGGTTGGATTAGCGCGGTGGTTTTCACAGTGTGGTCTCTCGACCAACAGCATCGGCACCACCTGGGAACTTGTGAAAAACACAAACTCTTGGGTCCCATATCAAATCAACTGAGTGAGAAGCTCTCAGGATTCAAGGGAAGGTTGAACTTCTGTATATTCAGTTATGGAATGTTCTATCCCGATTGAAATGCCTGACAAATTCAATCAAATATTTGGAAAACCACCCACAAAACAACTATAAATGCGGACAGAATTCCTTACCTGGTAATGTCCACTGCCCAAGACGACACAAATATTTGCTCCTTGAGTGTCCGCTCATACTTATTTATGCCAAAGAACCAATTCATCCTAGATGGTTCAAGCAAAAGTTCATCCATTTAGTCAACAAATATTTGTTGAATGCCTGGTCTGTGCCATACACTGTGCTAAGTACAGAGGACATACTATGAAGACGACGGTCATCAGCCCATTACATGAATCCTCTGCAGAGATGAGAAAAGTATTTGGAGAGCTGAATCTGGCACTTTTTTTTTTTGGCTGCTGATGCTACCAAAAGAACTTTTTATATTTCCAATAGTTTACGCTCTGCAGGTGGAGAAGTCTTTCCTACCAGAGAGAATGGTTACATCCCCCCTGATGAAATTTCCTCAGCCTGACAGTATGTTTACTAAAAATGCTATCTTTAGGGCATTCTAAAGAAAGGCAAACTACAGTCCCAGAAAGCGCAGCAGCTGAGTTGCTTGCATGTGTTTCTAACTCAGATCTGAAGGGCGAAGCTGAAACATCGGCCGCAGCTGGAAGAATGGGGAGCCGAACACTGGCAATGGGCAAAATGGTTATTCATTTCCTCTCTTGTGATCTTTCATATTTCATTTTTGTGTATCTCAATACATAGTTGAGACTTTTCCCAGAGTCACAATCAACCCTGATTATCTTCCTCCTCTCTCCACTTTTCCCTTTTTAGTTTCTTGGAAGCTGTTAGAGGAAGAAGATTAAAAACTATCTGGCATGGAACATTTTTGCCTTTTTTCTTTTTTTTTAGGTTGCTTAGTATTTGTCTAAGAGTTGAGAAAAAGAGACAAAGGAGAGAGTAAGGCCAAGGGATGAAGAGAGACAGAAAGCTTTGTTTCTCTTCAAATACGGTTTTCATCTCTGCCCTCACGTAAAAACTTTGCAGTTCATGCAGTCACAATATTTACATAATTTTAAACAGGTAGTGATTTTTTTGGTGACTAAATTATTATACAGTGTTAATCCCCTCTTATGCTCCCGTGGTTTGGTAGCTTTTTAAT